CTTCTTGAGGCGCATCCTCTGCGGCTCCGCTATGACGTTGTTGTTCTCCCCCCCCCCATTTTGAGATATGCGATGCTATGTTATCTCACCCGCGTGCCCCTCTCAACGATCTCATGATCGATCTCACTCAACAGGACACCACAGGACACCACGGGTCACCACGGAACATCAGAGAGGGGAAAGCGACGAGCGAGGGCAAGAGTTGACAGGGCTGGCGCAGGGGCCGGCGCGGGTGGGGGAGGGAAGTGCAGAGGTCATGAAATCCAGGGCGAAGTAAATGAAGGAGTACCTCTCCCTGCCCCATCTGTCCCTGCCCCTCCTCGAAGTAAAGCACTGTGGACTTGGTGATCCACCAACTGGCCCATAGCTCTGGCAGTCGGTCCCATATGCATACCTGCCTGCGCCAGGACGTCCACCAGGTCGAGCACAGAGTACGGCGGGCCCGACGTTGGTGGAGTCCATCCGCCTGCCACCGGCGCGGGGAGCGACGGCATAGATCGGAGGTTCAAAGATGGGGCCCGAAAGATAAGATGAAAGATAAGACGGGACCCGAATCATAGTTTGCATTGCTCGAGGCCCCTCACCCGTGGGGCCCAATCCTTCACGTCCCCATCTTTGAACCTGCAGGGGCGTTTCACTCAGACAAGCAACATAAGCATACATGTTCGGAGGTCTGCGCGGCGGAGTTATTGGAGCTGTGCTGGCCCTCCCTCCCTGGCGCGCGAAGCGCGCCAGTGGAGGCGCTGGAGGCGCCGCCGAGGGGGTCCAGCGTCGACCCAACAAACCCGAGCGGACCTCCGAACGTCTATGTTTATGTTGCTTGATTCATCTAGAGCACGATGCTGCACTGTTCGCCTATCATCTTGCTGCATCCTGCCCTCCCCCCGAGCTGGCCTGGGCACACGGCCCCAGCCGACTGGACGGCGTTGCGGAGCGCCGCGGCCGTCTGGAAAAGCATGTAGCACCCATTGCTTGGGACCGTATGGTGGTGAGCGAAACGGCCTAAAGCCCTGGCCAGCACACCGTCCATGCACTCCCGCTGGGGGGCTGTAAGCCCCCTCAGGAAGCCAAAATGGCTGAAGCATCGACGCGAAGGACCCAACTACATTCCAACACTTCCCCGACCTTGAGGCGTTCGGATTCGCAGGGATCTCCCCGGGCCCCCTACTCGCACGGGATTTTTCTGACATCATACGCTAGACCCATAAAAAAACACCCTTTATGGGATCACAGGCGTGCGACATCACATCCAGGACCTCGAGTCACCCCTACTAGCTCACGGGATTACGCCGACGAGTCACAGCTACTATAGATGTTTTTCTTTTTTTTCTGGGGGACATATGAAGTACACCACAAAAAGTGTCCATGATACTCCTGTACATATGTAGCACGCGCGCTATGACTATTGATCATGTCACACACGCGCACATTTTTTCCTACTACCCAGGGGCATGTGGGGGTGCAGCGCCCTTCGCCCCCCCACCGAAACCCTCCCGTGGGGAGCAAAACCTCTGTCCCCCCACCGCCCTCACTTTTCAGCCCGAAGGCTCCTTATTCGATTCCCAGAGGAGTAGGAGGAAAAGGAGAGAGGAGAGAGCGGAGGGAGGCGGGAGGGACAATTTCCCAAGAGGGCTTGCTTTCTGTAAAAATGTCTGTAGATAGATGGTTGTGGTGGTTCTCTTTGATTTCGCTGAGGCGCAAGCGCCATGACAGCCTTCCTTGGTCGGGAAATCCTTCCCCCACCCCGTACTGCCGACGCCGACGGCGCACAAAATTGCAAAATCGAGGCTCAGACACCGTGGTAGATTTCGGTATCCAGAACGACTCAACGATGGTGCAAAACATGGCCTTCAACTCGGCGGGCGGTCTTCGTGAACCCCAGGCCCTTCTTCGGTGGGGCCAGGTTTTGTATAGGGAGACCATCTGGCCCACGGGAGTTCTCCCAGCGCTTCGGACGAAGAGGCCCCTGGAGCTGGCGCATTCCCTCCTAAGCCGCCCTTCTGGGGCGCCTCAGAAGAACAAGCTCGCGTCTTCTTCGTATGGGCCGTCCGCGCTTGCACGCTGCGCGTCTGGTATGTGTGCGCGCAGGAACCAAATCTCAACACCAGCGGCTCTCGGAGGGGCTGGAGCGGGGAGCGCGAGGGTCTCTGGCCCCTCCGCCTCCGCCAGGAGAGGCACCCGCGAGCCCTGTCTCCTCCCTGTGTCGCACGGGCCAATCCCCGCCAGCGCGGCTTTCTCGGTGCCACCTGGCGAGAACGTGCTGAGACCAGTCCTCCCCCCCCCGATCCCCTCCATGGCGCGTGGCAGGAGGACGAGGAGGAGGAGGAGGAGGAGGAGGAGGAGGAGGAGGAGGAGCAGTCCCGGGACCCGTCAGCCAGCTTGCCTAGCGCAGAAGCACTACAGGCCATGCAGGCGTCTGCTCGGGGAGAACCCCGCGCCCGCCCGCAGGATCTGGAGGACGACGACGACGACGGCGAGGACACAAGCACGGAGGTCGGCGGTTTCGGGGATGGACAGACCCCCCTTAGTAAAACGTGGTTTAGTGAAAACGACCTGAGGCCCAAACCTGGCGGGCGCAAGCCTGGAAAATAACGGCCACGGCGCCCTCTCGAGAACCGAAAACTGACAATTCACTAATCGACGTGTCACTGTTGGGGGTTCTGTCCGCCTCCGACGGTTCAAAGATGGGGCCCTAGGGTGGATCTACATTGTTTGATGCACCACGTCCTTCGGACCTCTAGAGGGCAGAAAATCCACCCCCATAAGAATCACCCCGACAAGTGAAGCCGTTTAGCAGACGCACCCAAAGAAGGAATCGAGCAGGACACGGCTGTTAAGCAAACGCCTAGGTCCGTCTAGTAAACGTCAGTTGTCAGGTCCAGGTGGCTTTTCCTCCCTCGAACCCCGTCCCTCAAGACCTCATCTTTGAACCACCGTGCTCGTCGTTCGTCCCCCCTGCGGCGTGCGCTCGTTCTCTGGCGCTCCAGCCCCCGCACCCTCCAGCTCGGCGGCGCCCTTCCTGCCCACCGCACGACGGCCCACACAGGCCAGCGCGCGCATCCTCGGTCGCGGGCCTGGGCGCCCCGGGGCCGCTCTCCTCCCACGCTTCCTGCGGGCCGCGCCCGACGGCCCGGGGCCCCAAGACGGCCCACGAGACCCTCACGACGGCCCCAAGACGGCCCCTTAGAGCTCCAAGGGTGGCGCCAAGGCGCCCAGAGAGGGACCCTGGACTGCCCAGACAGGGCCCCAAGACGGCCTCCGAAGGCCAAGAGGTCCCATAGATGCCCCCGAAGGCCCCCAAGAGGCCCCCAAGAGGCCCCAGGAAGCTCCCAAGAGGCCCCTCAGAGGCCCCATAAAAAGCTACCAGGAAGCCCCCCTACGCGGCCCGCTTTCGCACCCTGGGTCGAACTCGCCCGCTGCAAGATTTTCCCCAGGCCAGCAGTCGGTGCGCGGGTGTCTGCACCACGTCTCCGACTGAGGCCCCAGCCGTCCAGCCTGGGGCGCCTCGGGGACGCGCATGCTGGCACCCCCCTCGTGCAGGCCGCTTCCGCCAAGGGCGACATTGTCTTGCGCACATGCCGCGTCTGCTCGAAGCCTGCTCGAAGCCTGGAGCTGACGTTGATGCGCGGGCGCCCTCCCCACGCTCCCGGCCCAGGGCCGCCAGTCCGCGGCGCCTCACTGGGAGGCGAGCAGTCCTTCCCTCCCGCGTGGAACGTCGTCGACTGCCCGGACCCTCTGTCTGAGCCCGTGGGCAGACCCACCGCGTGAGCGGTTCGTGACCAGACATCCGACCATGTTGCTCCTTCGATGCGCGGCCCCCGGAGTCCCAGGTCCTGCCCTGGAGGCAGGTCTTCGCCCCGGGCCCAGACACGGCCCCCAGAGGCCGAACTCGAGGAAAAACGCCTGGACCGAAAAGCTCAGATCGTCGGACTGGGTGCACAGTTTCTTCTCTTTCTTCCCCTTCTTCTTATTCGGCATCCGCTTCGGCCCCGTTGGGCGCGGATCGGCCCGCAACCATCTTGATGCTCTACCCTCTGATACTACCTAGCTCCTCCTCGACGCCGCCTTGGGCAGGAGGGCCATCGCCATGACTGATCATCGCCATGCACAGCTTCTCGTCCCCGCGTGCTGCCGTTCGCGCGTGGACGCATCCGCCTGTCACCCTCCGGCACGCCGCCCGTGGGCCGTATATTCTCGCGGGTAGAGCCTGCTTCGGACGCTCGAGGGAGCGAAGAGGGAGGGGGGAGAGGGGACGAGAAGGAAGGGAGGAGGAGCAGGAGAAGGAGAACTACGAGACTACGAGGAGGAGGAGGAGGAGGAGGAGGAGGAAGAAGATGGCACGGAGGAGGAGCAGCAGCAGCAGGGATGTGGGAGACGTCATCGTGAGAGGAGGGAGGAGGGAGGAGAGAGGGAGGGAGATCGTTCGCATCGCCAATGCCACATATTTGATCAAAGATGGAGGCCCGATGCAGATACCGGCGACGCCGTTGATTGGCACAGACGAGACTACCTGGCAAATTCCACTATGGACGAAAGGCGGTCGTGGTTCCACATTTGCACGGTCAATATCGACGCCAATGATGGTAAACTGTGACTACAGATTGACGCCGGCACTCGGGCAGGCCGGTGATCAGCAGCAGCGCGGGTGATAGAAGTGGTGTCCACCATGGGCGATTCGACCACTGACAGGCCATTGGTGATAGGGACACTTATACCAGCATTCCGTTCCTCTGTCCATCACAGCTGAGGCGATGGCTCTTGCCGAATCGGCGCGGGTAATTTCCAGTTGGGTTATCACTAGCACACTGCCGTCACAGGAGCGCCTTAGGCTTTGCAAATACATGGAATTAAATGACGGAGGGAGGGAGGCGAAGCGAAACGAAGCGAAGCGAACGCTGGGTCGTGCGAGCGCCATGGTGTGGAAGATGTGGCCTCGACATGGAAGATCTCAGATTCAGGCTTGTGAAACGCATGCCGCATGCCCGCTCATCTGAGGTCCATCACTCTGTGCGCCAGGCGGCACCAAGCGGAGGAGGGGGGAGGACGAAGAACGAGGAGGCGCGGAGGAGGAGGAGGAGGAGGAGGAGGAGCAAGGGCCTCAGGACAGGCCGGCTTCTATACCGCTCTGAATCATGGCCAGCTTCCGCTCCAGGAGCACGGACATCATCGCGGTGGCAGCCTGCGCCTCCGTGCCGGCCCGCCTCAGCGCGGGGAACCTGAGCCGCCAACCGCTCGGGGTTGCGAGGCGCCTCTCGGGAAGCAGGACGGGAGCCGAGGAGAAGAGGCGGCGGGAGGAAGAGGAGGGAGGAGTCTTCGCCTCCCCTCCCCCTCCTTCTCATCCTTCTGCTTCCTCCTCTTCCTCCTTGTCCTCATCCTCCTCGTCCTCCACACATCCTCCTCGATGCCCAGGCCCTGAGGGCCCCACCTCCCCACACCACCCCACCCTTCGCCCAAATCCGCCGACTTGAAGTCGAGGCACCCCTCCACCGTGGCCAGGCGCAGCAGAAGAGCCGGCGGACGTGGCGTAGGCCCAATGCATCGCTCCCTCCTTGGCCTTCTCCTCCGCATCGTGGAAGCTCTCCATAGCACCCTCGAGGACGTTGAGCTGGCTTGCGCAGGTCATCCGCTTGGCCTCCCTGGCCCTCCACAGCAGCCTGTGGTTGGCCTCCTCGATGTCGCCGTTGGCCTGCACGACGGCATCGTCTCTCTCCTTCTGCACCTCCACCTCGCGGATCTGCTCCTGGATCTCGGCGGCCTTCTCGGAAGCATAGTCCATGATGCCCTTCCTGGCGTTGTCGACCATCCACTGGGGCACCTCCTGATTCTGCACCTTCAGCTCGTGAGCCTTGCAGGCCGCCCAGCGGTTTGACCACCTGTCGTCTTCCTTCACCAGCTCAATCATCCACTCGGGCGTCTCCTTACCCTCCGCCTTCAGGCGCTTGACCTCCGACACGGCCCACTTGAGCTTGCCCCTGTTCTCGTCATCGGTCACGATCTTGTCCATCCACTCGGGGATCGTCTGGTTCTCCTCGCGCAGCTTCGCCGCCTGCTTCTTGGCCCACTGGAGAGTGGCGTGCTGCTGCATGCGCTCTTTCCGCTGCTGCCAGGTCAGTTCGGTCTCGTTCTTGCACCACTCCGGTGCTTCCTCCAGGGAGCTGAAGGACGAGACCACGCCCAGCATGCCCGTCGCTGTCGCGGCACTGCCCAGCATTGCGGAAGCGAAGAGCAGTGCAAGCGACATGGCGGCTGGTCAAGGTGGGGGCACAACCAATCAAATATATGATATATAGAAGCCAGTGTGGGTCCCACGGCACAAGCGGCTTGCGCTAATATGACTACTAGCCGGCCGCTCTGCGATTGATCGGGAATTTCTGTATATAGAAAAAGGGGCGTGCGCTTGTGGGCGAGAGGAGAATGAGCGGGAGGCGGTGGTGCGGCGGCTGAGGATGAAGAGGTTGAGGATCAGGAGAGCGAGGCTCGCGAGAGCAAGGGTCACGCGGGCGAGGATCAGGCGAGCGTGGAGCAAGAGGGCCTCTGAAGGCCTCCTTGGGAAGCCTCCAGGTGTCCCACGCGAGAGCGCCGCATTTCGCTGGAAACGGAACAGGGGGGCCTCTGAAGGCCTCCAAGCTCCAGGGGGCGGTTTTCTGAGGATGTCCACTCGAGGGCGCCAGTTTGGAATTCGCCAGCGGATTTCCTGGATCTCGCCGGAAACGGAACAGGAGGGGCTCTGAAGGCCTCCTCGGGGAGCCTCTGGGGGCCGGTTTTCTGAGGATGTCCCACGCGAAGGCGCCGGTTTGGAATTATTCCTCGCCAGATTTTCCGGATCTCGACGAAAACGGAACTAGGAGGGCCTTTGAAAGCCTCCTTGGGGATGCTGCGGGGGCGGGTTTTCTGAGGATGTCCCACGCGAAGGCGCCAGTTTGGAATTCGTCGCCGGATTCCCTGGATCTCGCCGAAAATGAAACAGGGGGGCCTCTGAATGCCTCCTTGGGGATGCTCTGGGGACTTGTTTTCTGAGGATGTCCCACGCGAGGGTGCCAATTTGGAATTCGTCCCCGGATTTCCCGGATCTCGCTGGGGAATAGGGGGGCCTCTGAAGGCCTCCTCGGGGAAGCTCCGGTGGCCGGTTTTCTGAGGATGTCCCACGCGAGGGCGCCAGTTTGGAATTCGTCGCTGGATTTCCCGAATCTCGGCGGAAACGGATCAGGTTTGGAATTCGTCGCCGGATTTCCCGGATCTCGCCGGAAACGGAAAGGGGGGGCGGTTGGCGGGCTTCTTCTCTCGCGCGCCGGGGGTCAGGATGACGTGAGTTCCACAGAAACACCCGCAAACGAGAGGGGGAGAACGGAGACTGGGAGGCGAAGATGATGGTAAGGATGAAGAGGAAGGTAAAAGGAGGAAGAGGAAGACGAGAAACCAGAATCTTCCGACCGACTTTCTCTCTAATGCTTACAGACGGTGTAAATTTTCTAATTGGCATCCTCCAGCATTCCTCCGACATTCCTCCTCGGTGCTCGTTGGAGCGAGCGGGGAGGAGGGAGCAGGGAGGAGAAAGAGGAAGGAGGGACCAGGCAAGGGAAGGGAGGGGAGGGAGGAAGCACCGAGCGGGCAGGAAGAGAGCAGGGGGGAGGGACGAAACAAAAGGGAGGCCGGAAGGCGGAGGCAGAAAGGAGGAGAGCGAAGGGCGGATTGGCAGCGCGCACAAACGAGCGGAGGAAGGGTCGAAGGCTTCTTGGAAGGAGGCGGCTTCTTAGAAGGCGCCAGCCTTACATCTACAGGTAAGGCCCGTGCCGTCTAAGCAGCAGGGGTGCTTCTAAGAAGCCCTCCACCCTCCCCCCACCCCACCGCGCGCATCTCTGATTGAGCATGGGAAGGACCAGTGTTCCGAAAACTACCCTTCTCCCAATGCCGTGCCTTGGCATGGTGGCATGGTCAACCACTCGCCCCCTGCACCCATCCTTCCAGCAGACAGCTCCAGCAGACACAGTGGCCGTCTCGGCCAGCATTCCCGCCAGATACGGCCGAGAGTCCTCCTCGGATCCTCGTTAGAGATTCTAGGCCCCTTCGGCAGTGCGCGTCCCACTGCACTAGGAGTCCTCAACCTTCGCACATGCAGGCTGGCACTGCGCCCACACGCAGTGGGCCCCAGAACCGACAGCGCGCGAGAGTCGTGCAGCTCCCTTCCACCCACCCACCCCGGCAGCCTCGACCTTCGCACCTGCACGCTGGCACTGCGCCCACACGCAGCGCAAACAGATGGCGATGTGGACACGAGAAGCGACAGCACGCGAGAGGCCTTCTCGGGCCTTCCGCGAGACATCACTGCGGCCCAGAGCCGCTTGTACAGCCCCTGGGCGGCGCGGCTCGAAGCCGAACAGTGCGCGCAAGGAGCCAGTAACACGGCAGGTGCGAAAGCGGTCTCGGCGCGGCCCTGAGAGCGCCCGCCCAAACTCAGATTAACTGAACCGGCGAACGAACAACACAGAGCCATACCTGTAGGTGGAACTCAGGGGGCTATGGGTGCGTGTTGCCGGACAGGGGCCCCCGCTCAAACGGGAGCCTCCCCCAGGGTCTGGAGCGGGCCGCGGCATTGCTTGCACCACTTCCACCACGCCAAGTTTTCGCCGCAGCCACATGTTTCGCATCGGACCAGCTGGCCCTGAACGAGAGAGCCATCCATGCACGCAACCCGTTGCGCAAGATAGAGCGTCCACGGCCGCACGAGGGCTCGCCGTGGAGATCGTGAGAGAGAGAGAGAGAAAAAAAAAAAAAAAAAAAAAAAAAAAAAAAAAAAAAACGCCTGGCTGCGGGGCAGCCGTCTTCGAGCCAGCCTTTGAAAGAAAATAGAGAAAAGGTAGAGGGGAAAAAGAAGAGTAAGAGGAGAAAGTGGAATAGAAATAAAAAGAAAAGAAGGGAAAAAGTAAGAAGGGGACAGATAAAAAGGCCTTTTGAGAGAGGTGTTAAAAGGGAGGGAGCGAGAGGTGGGCTGAGGGGAGGAAGTAGGTTAACTAGGGGGAAAGAGGGATGGAAGAATCAGGGGGAGAAATGTGAAAAGGGAGGAGGGAGGGAGGAGGCAAAAGGAAGAAGGGGGGGAGAAAGGAGAGAAGGATTAAAGAAGGCCAAAATGTTGAGCGGGCGAGAAGCCGTGTCCTCATCCTTCCTCTTCTCCTCCCTCCTCCTCCTCCTCCTCCTCCTCCTCCTTCTCGCTCGCCACGAGCACTAATATAGCCCCAGACATACAACAGGGCTGGCGCAATGAGCGCAGCGATTAAAGAAGATGAGGCAAGGGCCTTCTCGCGTGCTCCTTTTCGCATCGGCCGTCGCTGCTCCCCTGTCTCGCGCTCGGAGTGTGGGAGGCGCCGAGGCGAGAGCGCCATTCGGAACGGCCGAAGACGTCCCGAGTGGAACAGAAAGCACATGTGTTTTCCACCACATTGTGGGAAACACTGTATGAAAAATCCGCACGTGGGAGGGGCAGATGTAGGGATGCCGTCGTGGGAGAGAGGAGAGTTGTACTCCGAATGAGTAATTGTACAGGGTGAGAGAGGGAAAAGGGAGGGGAGACAGGAGGGAAGGAGGGAAGCAGGCCAGAGCAGGTGGAGGATGAGGACGACAAGGAGATGCGAGTGCACATCTGGGCACACAGACGGCAACAGAGGCCCAGGTCCGGCCCGCGCGCGTGCTTCGGCCTTGTGGCCGGGCGGTGGCAGCTCCATGATGCGCAGCGTGGTCTGTGTGGTGCCCGTCTTGCGCTCGGTGAACGCGAAGACACCTCTCCGAGGGTGGGGGGCAAGGGCAGGAAGGGACAAGACAAGGCAAGCGCGCGATGTCGGTCCGACTGGACCGGCCCCAGAGGATGGCAGCGCGGGGGCGGAGCCATCAGGAGTCGGTCTGAGCTGGGAGAGCTCGCGTGGTGGAGGCTGAGACTTGGATGCACAGGGCACGGACGGAGTCAGATGGTGCGCAGCCAGGGGCGGAATGGTGGGGCAGGAGCAGGGGGGGCGGAGAGCGAGGGGAAGGGGCAAGGAGGGAAGGGGTGAAGGGGAACGGGGAGCGGGAGAACGTGGGAGCGAGGGTGATGGGTGATGGGTGATGGGGAATGGGACGCGGGAGGGGGGGATATATAGGCAGTGAGGCGGTTCTCATGATAGGCTACGGCGTGGGTGCCCACTGCCAACGGGCGAGCCTTGCCAACCGAGTACAGAGTACGGCGCGCGAGAGCAGCCTACGCAAGGAGGACGGCCAACTGGCAGCTTGCGAACAGCGCAGGGGCCTTGGAAATCCTGAGAGCCACGCCACTTAGAGCGATAAATCTTGATCCCAGGGTCGCCGCCGCGGCCTCCTCCTCCTCCTCCTCCTCCTCTTCCTCCTCTTCCTCCTCCTCCTCATCATCACTACCATAACGACCATCATCACCATTGGTATCAAAACCATTACCACAACCATCATCATCAGCAGCAGCATCATCACCATCATCATCGTCATCACCATCACCATCGCCATCATCATCATCAGCAGCAGTAGCATTATCATCATCTTCGTCATCAGCATCATCATCATCAGCATCATCAGCAGCAGCAGCGTGACCATCATCATCATCATCATCATCCTCATCATCATCACCATTACAATCCTCATCGTCATCATCAGCATCAGCAGCAGCATCATCATCATAAGCATGATCATCATTATGATTATCATCATCAACTCCATCATCAGCATCATGATCATCACCACCATCAGCACCATCAACAGCATCATCATTGTCATCATCACCATCGTCATCAGCATCACCATCATCATCAGCATCATCGTCGTCATCAGCATCAACATGATCATTACCACATCGTCATTGTCATCGTCATCGTCATACTCACCAGTACCATCACCATCACCACCACCAGATTCATCCTCATCATCAGCAGCAGCAGAAGCAGCAGCAGCATCCTCATCAGCATCATCATCACCATCATCATCCTCATCATCCTCATCCTCATCATCACCATCAGCATCAGCGTCATCAGCCTCATCCTCGTCAGCATCGTCATCATCATCAGAATCACCATCATCACAATCACAGTCAACAGAAATCATTCATTATCCTCGTCCTCATCATCAACCAATACAGTCGTAGTCATCATCAGCATGGCCATCATCCTTATCACCATCAGCATCAGCATCGTCATCATCCTCATCATCCGAACCATCATCATCATCAACCACATCACCATCATCATCATG